TGTGTGTGTGTGTGTGTGTGTGTGTGTGTGTTTTGGTGTTGGTACTGGGTCTTGAATGCAGGGCCTGGGAGCTGTTCATTAGTTTTTTTTGCTCAACTCTGCCAATCAGCCATAGATTCCCTGGTAGATTTTTGGTAGTTAATTGGAGATAAGAGTTCCATCATCATTTACCATATCTCAGCCTCTTGAGTAATTCAGATTATGGGCAAGAACCACTAGTGCCTGGTTTCCAACTGTCTTTGTAACATTGATTCTTTATACCTTAACATTGTTTGGTTTTTTAAAATCTAAAACACAATTTTTTTTTTTTAGTTTTGGTAGTATAATACTTTTATAGTTAACTAGTAAACTGCAAGAGTTGAGGACCCAAAATTCATGAGTTGTATGTTGTAGAACAAAAAAACCAATGTCAATCAAACATGTGATGTGTGCCTGCTTATGTATGTAGAGGGAACACAAAAGTATGGATATTGTGGAGGCTAAGAGGATTATAGACTGTAGATAAAATAATTCCATTGTTTTTCACTAATAGCGTTTTTGCTGCACATTTTCATTGCTCAGGAATCTTAAAATCTGATCATAAATATCAAAATAGACATGAAAGACTATGAGACTGATTATTACAAGAAAAAGGTGTGTAAAATACTAAAAAATACAAATTAAGAAGAATGGGTTACAAAACAAAGAACGGAGAAAATTTAACTTAATTTAAAACAGGGAAATATCCTCTGCACAGAAGTTTATAGTTGTATACCTGTACCAAGATTAATATGGCTACCTAAACTCTTTTTATTTCATAAATACTACTTTCAGTGTTCAGCGAAGTTGCACCTTTGTGTTCCTTTCCTAAGTGTAAGCTCCTGTAGTCTGTGTGTGAATACCTATAGTCCTGTATAGGTTATCATGTCCAGATAGATTTTAGATCTAACTTACACATCTGAGAGGACACGTGTGTTGCTTGAATCTGAATTTGGCTTACCTTACTTAGCCTGTTTGTTCTATGTCTACCCATTTCCCTGCAAATGACATTTTCTTATTTCTTTATTATCCTTTTTTTTTTTTTT